AGATTAGAACACACTGATAACTGCGTGGAAGAGGAAATAGCCTAACCGGATGAATAAAAAAAAACGCTTGTCGAGGACATTAAGTTTTCTATTCTGGATGTGGGCTATAGATTGAGAAGATCTGTGGGTAGCTTTAAGCTCCGGGGAAAGTTCCGGAGGCAGTCACTAAACTGATCTGATTCATGCGGATCGGGATGCAGTCTGGTGGCGACCTCTTCTAAACACGGTAATGATTTTTCGCGTTCCACACAGAACGGGGAATCTGACGAGATATTGACTATTAGCTTTTCAAGAAGTGAGTTATGTGATAAGTTATCAGCCTACTAGCACAGCCGCGTATTAGAGGTGAGAGATACTAATCGGCCGGTGAACTCAGTAATAACTGGCAAGATACGATGATCTTGACTCCTTGACTTAACCTCAATCAACGAGAGAGTCAGCCAAGCTGTCGGTCTACAACCATCTGTCCAGAAAATTGCTGAGCCTCCACGATACCAACTCCTACTTCATCCGGAGCATCGAGGAATTGCAGGCAGTTTCTTTTTTAATCCCGACGGAAGGGTTATTAAATTTTTAAGACAAAAGTTTCTCCTACGGGCGAAGCAATTCAAACAAAAATTCTTGACAAGTTTTAAGTACAGCGTAGGAAGTGACTAGTAGTTGTCCAATTGCGAGTTACTAAAGGCTTAAAATCGGTAAATTACACTTCAGTAGAGCATAAATCAAGGTGGTTGTCATTTAGCTGACTCCGGATGTGGGATCTCCAACAAGAAAAATATATGACCATCATTTCTTGAAACCTGTCTAACGCCAGAAATTTTCGAGTCAACGGACGCTCACAGAACTTAAACTGGTGAATTTGGAATAGTCTGATACATTTCTAGCATCATAAACTTAACAACCTTCAATACAACGTCGTGGTAGTGTTTTGGACATTCTTGCTATGCATGCATGCGGCATGTCCCGAGTTCGAATATCGGTCTAGAAACCTGCTATCCTGACATTTTCGTCGTTTCCCTAGGTCCTCCAGGGGCACGCCGGGTGGTACATTCAATTAGGCTACGTCGCTTCCTTTCACATCCTTCCCAATTCATAATCATTCTCTCAGCAAACAAATGTGAGCTTTTGCCAGCATCGCCAAATAAGCTACAAATAAAATGCGCCTACTTTTCAGTATTTTCTGTTTAGTAATTACGACGTAGAAGCACTTCCCGCGTCTGTATGGCTGTGACAGGGAGCGCTGTCAAAGAAAGAACTAATGTTTCAGGCTAAAATAATTTCAATTCCGCAACCTTTCTTTTAAAATGGGTCAAATCAGCAAACCTGGGGGATTCTGCTCCTGTTGATAACGTAAATAGTACGTCAATAACACGTCGACAACGTATAGACATTGAACAAAGGAAAAGATTTTTAAGGACTTGGCAAAATTTAGCGTCTCTAACACGCTGGGACACAAATATATGTCAACGTGTAGGCCCTAACAGATTACTCAATAACTTGTGACTTTTGAAAATATCGACAATTCATCAAATATATTCCCTTCCGCATTACAAGAAGTTATCAGTTCTGTAATGAGGGTATTGAGACATCATGATCCGACATCTTTTTTTAAAAAAAAGTAGGTCTAGCTTTATCTACTCAAAATACTCCATGAAAAGCACAACGCGATATTTATACTCCGTTGTTAACCATGATAAAAACAGCGAAACTAATTGCAGCACTAAAATGTACAACGCCCGAGCTGGATATTACAACATCAATTTCATTTGATAATTCTACTTCTGACAAAGAATTTGTCTTCAAACATCAATAACTCGCCGCAGAACCTTGGTGTAAGTTCATGAAGTACGCATGTAACAGTTTTTTTTCCTCATTGATTTTTGCATTACAGTCACACAGCCTTACGCTGTTCATTGTCATACGGGAAAGTCAGGGTCATCCATTGGCTAATTAATACAAAGGTCCCGTTCATTCTCCGAGCTATTACACTTCTCTGAAATCACACATGCCGCAATCCTGACAAGGAAAAAAATTAGTTGAGAACAAAAAAATCAATCTTAAAATTTCTCTTACTAAAAACACACGTGTTAGGAAACGACTGACCCCAAGGACAAAAGACGAGGGAGGTAGATAACACTACGGGTCTACAATGCGGTTGAGGGGAAATCAGAATGCAGAGAACTGCGTAGTATCCCAAGCAAGATAAGAAATAATGAAACGAGTCACCGAACTATTTTCGTTTTCCGTCGCGCACAACGAAGTCACGATTTCATTAATTTTATACCGCGTGTCCCATATCAACTTCGCCTTAGGAAGTCTAGCAAGGTGTCATTGTGGCAAATGTTTGGCCATGCCGTACTTCTCATACGCACCCCTAAAAGTGCGTATCTACAAACTTACATAAATATAAGACAAAGAAGAGTCCCACAACAACAACACTACTGCCCGATTACTGTCCCATAACAATACACATTTGGAACACCCGTTATTGTATGAGATACGTTGCTGGCTTACAGGAACTACAAGAGTTAGTTATAAACTTTTAAACCAGAAAGGCTTGAGCATCAGGTAAGGCCACACTTCTGGCATCCCTGGAAGGAACTACGAAAAAAATTAGGAAACATACGAGGTCAATGGTTCCGTATCCGCAATCAAGAACTTTCTAAGTAGGATTTGAGGTTTTCACGGCGGTGAATCTGAAGATGGCTGTCTTGTGGGTTGTTGCGCTGCCAAGGACCTCTGAAACGTCGGTAAACTTCTACCAGATTAAACTGCGCAACAACCCATCTTCAATAACATTCTTCCTTAAGAATAAGTTTACTTCGCAAAAAGTTCTAGCCAGACAAAGTTTGTTA